TCTACTTAAAATGGCTTGTTGCCAATGAAAATGAATCTAATAGAAATTGGCTCGGACTCTGTGAAACGAAACTTGGAAACCGACTGCTTCGTTTCAGCGCTGTAGAGCTGATTGGCTTTATATGCTAGAAGCTTTTTTTTTTAGTAGCTTTTTTTAAGTAGCTTTTTTAGTAGCTTAGAAGCTTTCAGGCTAGAAGCCTTCACCAAACTCCAAAATATGAATATTTCCAGTCTTTTGCAGAATGCTGTCCCTCATTTGACCCACAACAAAAAATATTATGCGCAACAATATGGCAGGCATTAATCTCGTTCCAGAATGTCCATCTTTTGCGGAATATCTACCAAATTCAAGAGATCAAATTTTCAGTGGCATCCTCATGAGTCTCTGGCATTTCAGCCATAGCAGATTAAAGCAACACTGTCAGTAGGCGAAGCCACGGGTAAATGACATTGGGGATTATCACCATTCCGGTACCACTATAGACGCTCCAGTGCTTCTTCCATCCCACCCAATGTTACCATCTTCCAGGGAGCATAGCTAAGTCGCGAAAATCCCTAGGAGTATGGGATGATCAATCATTAATTTAAACTTTATTTTTTTCAGATGAAAGACAGTCAGACGCTTTGTTTGGAGTCCCTGAGCAATGTTAGGATCCCTAAAGACTATGATATACTTGAACAAGTGGGAGAAAAATTTTTCACAAAGTTAGTTTTTTCTTAGTTCAATTTCTCGCACGTATTTCTGACAATTAGCACTGCAAAAAAGACAAAAAAAAAAAAAAAAAACCAAGCAGTGAATGTAAACCTTCGATTAGCTACAGTTCGCAGCGTGGTTCTCAATCTGTACGTCCAAAAAGCTCATCACCAACTGCTTCGACCAAATACTTTACCGCGCGATAATCAGCTACTTATTGGCAATCTTAACGTCCAGTTCGTTTCACCTGCAATTATTAATTTGCATTCAATTAATTCAGCTACTTTTTCAAATGTTAAGCAAATTAGCAGCTTAGATTGCCTGGCTGGCCAGCTACTCCCAAGCATAGGCTGATCTAAAGCGGATTCCTGGAGAGGGGGGAGGGAGGGGGGGGGGCGATTTTTCTCCTTCCCCGCGTTCGTCACTACGTTGGAAGCCCCATTCGCCCCGGTCGTCGCTCCTAGCGGCGGCGACGACGAACGGCAGGGAGGAAAGAAAGTGGGGCTTTTTTCCCCAGAAGCAAATAGCAAGAACTTCAGTAACGCTTAATGTAACCAACGTGGGTTAATGTAACCAATGACATCTTGGAATGCTAATATACCGAGTGCAGTAACTTGAGGCTTTTTGACCCCGTGCTGCACATCCTCCAGTTAGCATTCGCAGTACCTGTACAGTTTCTTTCATTTCAGACTGTGCAATTCTTATCCGAAATTACGCATATTTATCTTTGACGACCACTATGATCTCGGCTCTTCGTGTACGTTTTTAGGCATTTTTCACAATAAAAAAAGCGTAAATCTTGTTTATGTTCATTATCCTGTTTCACAATAAAAAAGCGCAAATCCTGTCAAGCGCATAATTAAGCTCTAGGTATGCGGAAGCTGAATACTAAATTATAGAATGTAATTAGTATTTAAATACTGCACCCAGAAACGGTAGATAGTTGTATAAGTGGGCGGGGCACTATGCGTTATTTGATCATTGCACGAGCAACATTGGATGTTTACTTGGATCAGTTGCCACTACACGAACTTTGATGGCATGTCACCTGTAATCTGATTTTTTCGTGTAATCTTGGGCACAGTTATGTTCTCATGGACCCACGTCTTTTCTTCCTTTTCCCATTCTTCTCTCTGCATGGCCTCCCCATTGACCTCAGGTTTAAATTCAGACTAAAAGCGATCATTGTGCTTCAGAAGTAGTTAAAAAATTGGCGAAAAAGCTGAACTTTCGCTCAGAAGGCTGAACTTTCATTTCGAAACGACATGGGCATTGAAGAGGAAGTAGCTGATATCCCCATCTATTTTTTAGACAGCAGACGGTTGCTGACTACCTGTCTGCTGAATAGGGGCCTTTTTCCCTCATTTACCAGTACGGCACTCAATGACTGTAGATATTCAACTCCGAACCAAAGCGCCAGGTATAGCGGTTAGTGTAGTATGAGAATATCCAAAGGCCAACACTAACATCGAATAATAGGCGGGCCCAACACTGACTTTTGGGGAGAGGGGACGACCGGGGTGAGAGAAGAGCTCCCTTCCACTCTGAAGCTATGCAAAAACTAGGAATAGGGTTGTAACACTGCTGCTTACAGTTACTTTAGTTTTATTTATGAACAGACCCCGGCTTTTACGGCATCCTTCACCCCACCCCTTTCCACTGGATGCGCCTAGGCATCGAATCCCTACATCGACTATCTCAGGCCACCCCGGTTTAATGCTTCTCTGTATTGCAGGGAAACTATTGGTGGATGCAGTAAGACAGGTAC